TGATTCATAAGTTTGAGTTTGATATGTACTTCTCCAGGTTATTAGTAGGGCTTCGAATGCTAGATTTGTAATCTAACTCTATTTATCACCCTACTTAGTTACCCTCATCAATAAATTAACCTTAGTAGTATATTCATGTCGTAACTTATAATTAAGTTCAAAGTGCATGTTATGAAAGATATAATCTAATGAAAACAAATTTTATCCAAATAAAACAATGTAATTTCCTAAAATATATAAGGAAGTGTTGAGACTGATTTGCAAGTTGCCTACTAGTTCATACCATAATTCTTGGTTTTTAATCAGAGGTGTCACTACCAAGTACCAACCTACCTATCAGATAAGGACCAAACTTGAATTTATAAAGCACCCCTACACACTGCATAAACCAAAGAAAAGCTCTGTAGCATTATACCCTAACGCCAGTTACAACCACCTCCATCTCCGCCTTCAATCCCCAGTAAAGGCAAATTTAGGGTTTGAGCTCTGGGCAATAATACCCTAACCTGGCCAGTTCAGTAGCCTGGCCAAAAGTAGTACTGATATTATGTAACCAAATTAACGCCATCTGATTTATATATGGTTCTTGTTTGATGTCTGTTTTCTTCAAGGTGTTTTTGAGTGTTGATAAGGGTTTTCTATTTGGGTTTTTGGAGCTTTGAAAGTGTATTGCTACTTTGGGGCTTTGCAATTTAGGGTTTTGTTACTTTGGGGCTTTGCAATTTAGGGTTTTGTTTTTCCGTTTGTGCATTTGTGGTTTCAGCCTGCGGTCTGACAGTTTCTTTCTATTTTAGTGAAGTTTCCGTTTTCGAACCAAAAAAACACCAACTGCGATTAGGCCGCCTTTTTTGAGGAAAGGCCCAGGAGCTTATAAGCCTCCCTTTTTAGGCCTAAGCATATGGAAGGCCCCAAGTCAATTTCTTCTTTAAGTCCCCTGAAATAGAATTTCTACAAGTAAGTACACAAAACTAAAATTTTGTGTATTCTACGGCCCTGTTTGGCAGATCGGATAGAGGATCGGATAGGACTAATTATACGGACGCGGGTGTTTGGCGTTCACTCGTACTAAATAAGCGCCGGATTAAATTAACCGGTGTGCTTATTTAGTACGGTATACACCGGACTAATAAAACCAACCAAAAGGCCGGGATTATTAGTCGGCCCTCTCTCTCTCTCGCCTTCTCTCGGCCCTCTCTCTCTCTCTCTCTCTAGGCGTCGTTGTCCTCCCCCCCGTCACCTTCTCTCACCATCGTCGTCCTCCCCGTCGCCGTCGTCGTCCTCCCCTGCAACTGGGTCTTGCAAAGAAGCATGCACTCTCTTGCCCGGCATGGTGTCTGGGAAACCTCTCTTCTCAAAACGCCAACAAACTACTCTCCTTCTCTCTGTCAAACCGCCGCCAGTCCATTCCACTTGCGATGTTGCAGTGCAGGAGGTAACCTTGTCAACAAATCGTTAGTTTGTTTCGTTTGTTGCATCTTGATTTGGGTTGATGTGGATCTGATGACTCATGGTTGCTCACCAAATGTGCAGGCAGGCGGGGAAGAAGAAGGGAGAGAGAGGGAGGGCGTTTGAGGGGTCCGGCGGAGAGAACAGGGAAGAAGAAGGGATGGTTTCATATTTTATTTTTATTTTTATAAGTTTAATTTAATTTTAAGTTTGATTTAGCCTATCCGGTATAAAACCAAACACAGTATAAATAATACGGTCATTAATCCGATACTGCACCAAACGCCCGATTAATTTAGTCAGTACTATCCGGTGGCTATTTATCCTATCCGACAGAAATAGTCAGTACAGTCCGAGCTGCCAAACGAGGCCTACAAGTACACAAAACTAAAATTTTAATCATCTTGACAAACTAAAATTTCATGTATACTAACCGAGGAAGAAAGATAGTAGAATTTTATAACAGTTAAAAATATAGTTTTTGAGTGCTTATGGAGTGTTGAAAATTAGAGTGCCAAATGGACAAACGACGAACAAATAATGAAACTATAAATATTATCACTAAAACAAAACAAACAAGAATATCAAAACGGTTACAAACTGTTTGGGCCCAAAATATTGTTTTGGGCCGAGCTAGGAGTAATTCTCGACCCAGTAGTCTTCTTTTAGAATTATCATGGGCCGTCCAGTTAGGATCTGCCGAATCCTGTTGCAGGACGGATTGGTTTAGATTAATGACCAAAATATCGATATTATCGGCGAAATATCGCCGATAATATCGTTTTTTTTAGTAGGCGATATTTTCAAACGTATACACTTAATTATAGGAAATATATTGTGATATTATCGATAATATTGCTGGAGGCGTCGTCGTCGCAACTGCAGCCGAGGCTCCGTCGTCGCAGCTGCCAAGGAGAGGAATGAGGGAGAAGGTTCTAGGGATTGGGGAAGGGGGGAACACACAAAACCTTTCTTGAGGGTTTCGATCTCAGCTTCGGAGCGGCGAGCGGTGTTGGGTGCCTTCTTCCTGATGATGACGGGCTCCCAGTCCTGCGTGATGGGTCCTCTTGAGTCCTGACATGGCGATCGGCTGTGGGAGGGGTGTGCGGGGTGTCAGAGATTTCTGGGCTCTCTAGGGAGGATATTTGGTTTTGGTTGCTATTCTGAGGCGGTCTAAAAGGGCTTTTGGAAGAGAGGCGAGGGGGTGCGTTGGGGGGGGGGTGAGGACACGGGTGGAAGTGTCTGAAAAGAAGAAGAAAAAGAAGGGTTTTGGATTGGTTAGTTGGCACCATCTGAAAACAAGAAGAAAAAATGTTTGCCAAAAAAAAACAAAAGAAGAAGAAGAAGAAATAATAATAAAAATAAAAATAATTTTTAATAGAAAATTGTACAACGAGATTGATTAAAAATTATATATAAATGATTATGGTGTGTTTAAATATCTTTCATTAATTACTACATATTTTCTACACTCACAATGTTTGCCAGCTCGCTATATAATCAACTTAAATCAGTTAAATACATCATGCAATGCATTTCCTTCCATTTTTTTGTGATAAACTAATAGATAATTGACTAAATAAACATGTTGCAAAGTTTCAATAAAAAATTCCAAGTTTTTCTTACAATTTCCGTGGTTTCCATATTATTTTTATCGATATCGATAATATCCTGATATTTCCATCGATATTTCCGTGTTTTTGGACTACCGATATTTCCGATATCATCGATATTTAATACCTTGGTTTGGATAAGGATGGAGTGGTCGAGACCTAGTGCAATGAGGAGTCTTAAGAGGCTAAGAATGTTGAGACTTAGGAGATGAATCTGGTTTGATGATTAGCTTGGTTCAAAGTCTTTTTGGAGTTAGGATTGGCCGAAACCTAATCAGATTAGGTTGAGAAGTTCTAATCTGAGTATGATTTTAGCCCGGCTATGAAGGGATTCGCTACTATAACCTCTAAATTCAACACACAAATTGTCATGCACAAACTCTCGCTCTACGCGAAACCTCTTAACAACCTTGAGATTTTTATTTTCTTTTATTTTCCTCAACACATCTTCAGTTTGGATAAACAGCATTGTGAAGGCAACCGGTGACATCTTCAGTTTGGATAAACAGTACTGTTGATGTAGAGTCAACCGATCGCGGAGCACCTTCAATTTAGATAAACATCACTGTTTCGAAGTCGACTGATTACCTTTTCAAGTCTTGGTCGACAAGGATTTTTGAGTCCTTGTTGGTAGAGGTCATCTCAATAGCATTCTCGGCGAAGTGAAGTGTTACCAGGTTACTACATTTGGTACATTGAAAGCCGAATCTGATATTGAACTTCACAAAACTAGCAGCCTTGTCTTCAGGCTCTAGAACCTCAAGGTCGAGACTTGTTCCTTCCTTGGCCGCAGTCGCAAGATTAAGATGTCAGTAGAGCGCTTAATGCAACATCAACACATTTTACTCCTCGGCCAAGCTCGACAGTTGAGTTGGCACTCCCCGCACATAACCGAATAACGTAGTTAACTCATTAGTTACTCAGCCTGTGCGCCACGTAGGCTTAATAGTTTTTAGGGTCAACACAAACTAAGGCGTACGTTTTGACAGACTTAGTTCTCAAACTAAATTACAAGCTAGAGACCTAAACATAAGAAACCTTAATGCATAAGATACCAAAAATACCCTAATACAAAATCAAATCAAATATCTAATTAATTTCCTAAATAAACTCATGAATTCCAACACCCCCTCAAACTCATGGCGGTACGCAACATGAGTTTGAAGATGTGTGTGTAGGCTTCGCTGGGCGAACAGGCAGGCAGGCATGCAGATTCCAAATTTAGACAAATGACAAATGGATATAGATTGATATGGCATATAACATATAGATTCAAACATACATATTTCGTTAATTATCGGACACGCCCTAATACAAATAGATTCCAACAGACTACAAATTCATATTCCAATAGACAGATGTTGAGGACATGAAAAAAGAAGAAGCATATGCATGAATGCTCCTCGTCCCTAAACGAACGAGATTCTCATATCCCAACTGCTGTAACAAACAAACAATCAATCCAATCATGAAATAGATGATATAAACTCTAACAACGTCATTAATCCAAGCACTCGAGTGATCGTTCTTGTGATATCTTTACCAATGCAAAAAGCCTTTCAAGAACGACATTGCTCTAGCACTATCTTACAATTGCAAAGAACTAAAACCCCAAAAAAATTGAAAAACAAAAAATTAGAGGCTTGGAAACAAAAACCCCCCAAAAAACTACATACACATGCATTAAAGCTTGTTCTCTTGCATCGAAACTCCTTGTGAGCAAAGAACTTAGAATACAAGAAATTTTTGTAGTAACATTCCAATGTGTATGTACAGTTCCACTTAATCCAGAAAATTAATGTCTCACTCCAATTTGTTTTATTCAACATATGCATGTATAATTTACTTGTATTTAGATTTCCATATGCCGTATATTCATCACGCACACAAAAAAATAGTGATCTGAAATCAATTAAAAAATTACTAAATTAGACAACGCAATGAAGTTTCAATTTTGGTCTCATTACCAGATTTCAATACCTTTTTCAGATGTTCAAAGTGGAAGTGACACAAAAATACTTCTATATTACATACGCATCAATTAATATCTTCATTATACATTGATGAGAAGATTCAACACTACTAGTTAAGAGTTATTAACTTGAGGAACTACAAATCATTCATGCGTCTCCTTTCCATCTTGATTAATCTTGGTGGCCCTAAGTATTGTCTGTGTCACAACTATCACATCCAGCTTTTCTTGGTTTTGGTGATCAGCTACAACTGCAATGGCTTCCATAGAAAAATTGTTGTTGCATGAAACTCTAGCTTGCACAACATTGAGACCCATTTCTTCAAATACCTCCAAAACTGAAACCAGAGTGGCCTTTGCTTTCTCACACTTCACTCTCACATGAAACCCTTTCTCAATCTTCTCTACCTTCACTTCCTGCCCATCCATGCATATACAATATTCACAAAATTGATAAATATAGAGTACAGAGAGAGAGAGAGAGAGAGAGACCTCGCGGACTTGAAGATGTTTGATTAGGTTTATGTAATCTGTCTTGATAGCCATGAGATGCGAGTACTCTCTGTGGACTTCTTCAAGCTTGAGTTTCAGCATATAAATGTGGGGTAAAGCATCCACGACTATGGAGGTCCTCTTGACCTTTAAGTACAAACATCCAACAAAACACAAAGAATGTTTAATAGGTTAGCTAGCTAGTTTGTACCAAGAAATCAAAAGAACAGATGATATTACGGATTTTGTCTTGGTAAGGCTCCTTAGAATTTGAAGCTTTCGGCGCAATGCTACTCTCTTCCGCAGCCCGGAGACCATTGCTCTCATCAGCTCTGTTTCTTTGTTTGGCTGTTTCTCTCTTTGTGTTTTTTACTTTTAAACGCACACTAGCTAGTATTCGGATTTGAGTTAAATAATTTTGTGGCATGCATGGGATGGGATGGCTTTTATAGCTTGCCAAGAGCAAGGAGAGCGCTTTAACTGATTAGTGGGTGTTGGAATTTTGAATTTCCAAACTATTCTCCTCTTGTTTTTATCGGAATAGGCATAGGTACTGCAAAACTGTATATCCAACAGAAGTTTTGCAAATGATTCAAATGGCATACAATTTGTTTTTTTGGCAATAGTAAATTATTCTACACCAAATTTATCGAAGTTACAAAAAAGAAAATTTGAACTTAGATGCAGAGAAGAAAGAACACTGTTCTAACTAATTTAGTTAAGTCTGAGTCTACAAATCAAATGGTATACAATTATATAAGACATCAAATAAGTCCAAAACCAATGGAAATGGTAAAGTTTCCTTTTTCCTTTTATTATTGATAGGGGTAAGGCTAGCCGACATTCACCTCTCTCAGACCCTGCGTAAAGCGAGAGCCTTGTGCACTGGGTACGACCTTTTTTATTGATAAAAAAAGAGAAACAATATTACTAAATATTGTAAACATACACAATAAACAGAGTGAATTCTAATTTTGTTTCTAGTTGTGCAAGGAATGCCTTGCATTTTGATAACTCTTGTAGTAGATGCCCCAGAGGTTTTTCTTTTTAATTTTTTTTTCTTATAAAAAAAAAAAGAAAACTAATGAAAATGACTTGAAAACTTTGAATTTTAACGATAAGGACAAAATAAAGGGTAAAGTGAATAGTACTAGGATTGACTTTTTAGTATAAAAATATGGTTTTTCGTTAAAATGAACAGTACCGGAAACTTTTCGTTAAAGTTCTTTATAAAAAGAATATAGTGAATTCTATTCTTACATGAATGTCACTCTCACTTGGGAGTTGGTCACCCATTAATATGGTGTTAATCAATCACGTTAGACAATGTCTTTTTTTTTTTTTTGGGAAAGACGTTAGACAATGTCTTATGACTTGATTGCTGAACACAATATGGGTTATTGAGATATATTGTACCATCTAATTTGAGATGGAAGTGGGATCTAGTAATTGGTACATGTCCAAGACATGAAGATTAAGACAAATTATTCGCCAGTATTAGGATTGAAAGAGTTAAGAGGATCACAGAAGGCAGGTGGGGACGGAATTGGATCCTCTCCAAGGCAAATTCTTGGGATCCTCATGACCTAATAACACGGACTGTTGGATTTTGATCAAACGGCTACAAACAGGGAATCCCTCTAAAAGTTATAATAATTGTAGCCGTTGAATCAAAATCCAACAACATGTGTTAATAGGTTAGGAGGATCCCGAAGCTTTGTCTCGGAGAGGATCCAATACCGTAAACTAGTCAAGTTCTAGCTAAATAGCTGTTTTTATATAAGCAAGAGCCAAAACCACAAAAGAAGGAATGGGATTATGTTATTGTCCCATTCACCTACTTTTCCAGTTGGGAAATTTGCATTGGGATAGCTAGGGTTTGTGGGAAATGAGTCGGCAGAGATGGGGTTTGATATGTCAGAACAAAACACATGTATGTGGAGTAGGATTCTCTCTTCCTATTATCATTCACTTTCATCTTCTTCTCTTACACTCTTCTTTTTATCTTATTCTTTATATAAAAATTTCAAAATAAGATGTAAATGTGACATAATTGTAACTGTTTAAATAAGAAGGGATGAAATGAGAAAGAGATTAAGAGATGAGAGAATCCTACTCCCATATGTACATCACAGACATTGAGCCAGCTAATAATCTGGAGGAAGAGCCATATATATAAGGCATGCATTAACACTGATTTAACAGTACGTCTTCACGGGTTTGGTATCGATTTGTCTCCCCCTGCCTTAATATATATATCTACCATACTGCATGGCCATACCCTTAAAGTGTATATTATTAGTGCTGGCAGGTGCAGTTGATTGGCTCTATTAATTGCTTTACCACTGACCGTAGCTCACATGCTCTGACACTATACATTCTGCTTTATTCATTTCCACCAAATCTATCAAGTTCGGAATTCAGGCCATTGAAATTTAATCAAACAGTTACAGTTATAATAATTTTTAAAAGAACGTCTTATTTGTAATCGTTAGATCAAATTTCAACGCTCTGGATTCCAAACTTAGTTGATTTTGTGGAAAGGGATCCTGTCCTACTCTTTATCGTTCTTTCCCCTTTAGTAGGGCTCACCAAATTCCCTTTACAAAATGATATAACGAGCCACTCAATCTAAACATATGGGGTTATATTTTAGACTACATACAAGCTAAGTTGCAAACTCAAATATTTGAAATCTCAAATGCAAGAATGCTCAATTTATCATAAGGTGTTGATTTGCATTTGATTGTACGTATTCAAGATTTAGCTATAATATTTTATATATGAAATAGGAGAGAAGTGAAATACGAAACTTAAGATTGTTGTGCTACTCAGAAAGAAGAGATATATAGCTTTTCGTTTTCATCTTTAATTTTGTTACAACAATCACTCACCTTAAAATCTTAAGTTGTTATTAACTGACAAACAAAAATAATATATATCAAACTTACTCATACATTCTTCAAAGAAAAAGTTTAGTGCAAACAAATATAAGAGTGAGAAACAGAAATTAATTAAACTTAAGATTATTACAAAGACAGTTCGGATATTATGTCAACGGGGTGTGATATTCACACACAATTTTTTACTTCTTTAATATTCTTTTAATTTTCGGTCGTCGGATAAGATGAATTGAAGAAGATCAAAGGATATTAATTAACAAAGGGTGTGAGAGAAATAAAAAGGGATGTGTGGATAATACACATCTATGTCAACAAGCAAACTACAACCAATAGAAGGCTATACAATTACTTTGCGACAAATGTGGTTAGGCCAATCTCCTTACACCCCAGTTAGATCTCTTTGTGACAAATCATCCTGTTGTAAAGCAAAAATAACTTTCAGGAGAAGGAGTCATTGGGAATTATGACCGAGATCAAGAACTAGAATCACTTTCCTTATTATTGGCTCAACGAAGGAAATTTTATTTCGAGACAATGGACATGTGCAACGGTGACACCATAGTTTTTCTCCTACCAAGGATTATATTTGTGCTTCATAGTAGTGGAGAGGTTTCACTGAAAGTTGGTGTGAATGAACGTACACCTTAGGGTTGGTTTGAGAGTGACGTGTTTAAAAAAAAGTATCCATGAAAAAAAGCTGTGAGAGTTTTAGGTGTTTGGTAAACTGAAAAAAAAAAGGCTTATTTTGGAAGCTGTTGCGAGAATAAGCTGAAATCAAAGGAAAAAGCTGAAGCTGCTATTTGCAGCTTTGGAAAACTGATTTTTTTTCAAAGCACACGGAGCTACAGTGCTCTTTTAATGAAAAGACCCACTATCAGACTGCTTTTTTTTCCAAAAGCACTTTTACAAAAAAGTTTACCAAATACTCTGTTGATTTATTTCATAGCCGCTTATTCTCACAGCAGTTTTTTTTCAAAGCACAGCAATACCAAACCAGCCCTTAGTCACATGAGGCAGTTGCCACCACACAAACCTACCAAGACAACCCTTGTATATATATACGCAACTTACACGTTTTAAATATATTTATATGCGTAAATTGACAAAAGGAAAATCAAATATTTGAAGTAAATGAATAATCTTATATCATGCTAGAAGAAATCCCTTATAAACCAATTAAAGTGGCTGAATTCACATAATAAAATCAGTCTCTATAGAATTTACATTAAGAATAGATAAAATAATATTTAATAAACAATTGATTGAATCACATTATTGCTAACTCATTGTGAGGCTAAGCCCACCCCCTCCCCCTTAGTGTAGATAATATCGTTTGTTAAAAAAAAAAACCATTTGACAACTAATTTAATCACATTATTATCCGTGTGTGAAAGACCTTTTTTTATAACTGGCATTACACGGCTCTTAAGATGTTTTGAACGTGTTTAAAAAATAGAGAAAATAATATTTGATAAACAATTGATTGAATCATGTTATTGCTAATCTATTGTGACGCTAAGCCCACCCCTCCCCTAGTGTAGATAATATCGTTTGTTAAAAAAACAATCATTTGACAACTAATTTAATCACATTATTATCCGTGTGCGAAAGAATTTTTTTATAACCGGCATTACACGCCTCTTAAGATGTTTTGAACGTGTTTAAAATAGAGAAAATAATATTTAATAAACAACTGATTGAATCACATTATTGTTAGCCCATTGTGAGGTTAAGCCCCCCCTCCTCCTCAGAATAGATAATATTGTTTGTTAAAAAAAAAACAATCATTTGACAACTAATTTAATCACATTATTATCCACGTGCGAATGACATTTTTTATAACCGGTATTACATGCCTCTTAAGATGTTTTGAACATGTTAAAAAAAAAAATTGAACCACATTATTGTTAACCTATTGTGAGGTACTAATTATAAAATAAATATTAAAAGAAAAAACACACACACACAAAATTAATTATTAAAAAAATACTGTAAAAATGACAAAAATGCTCCTTAGGCAGAAACACACTTTGGATTTTAGCATGCAGTTGCACATAAATACCACCCTAAATCACTGTCCCAATGTATGGCTGCTATCTGTAAATTGTTTCTTGTGTGAGCTACCAGAGAGTCACAGAGCTAGTGTTACCCCTGCTTTTTAGAGGACGGATTACTAAGAGGTCCTTATCTGTCTCCTTATTTTTGTGCTTCCCATTTCTGTTTGTCCATTTGCGTTTGACATATCTCTGGGAGGGGAGGCTCAATGCATGGCTCATCTGATCCCGTTCATCTTTTTAATTTCTAGGCTTGCTTGTGAAACCTTTTTGCTTTTCATCACTTCGTTTAAAGAATCCGCACTCACATGATGGGCAAAAGCGCAATCCAATTTTTGAAAAGTAGCTAAGACTAGGTGATTTATATGATAACAAGGTTTGTTTTTCAATAATCGTGTCTCAAACATGGTCGTCTTTGGCGTTTGCTTCTTGAAAACGAACGACAATAATCATTTTTTAATTGTATGGGATGTGAATCAAATATTGCTTGTACTAGAGAATAATTAACCAGAACTAATTTTTTTTCTTTTCTTTAAGAAACAATAT